CTCGTATTTGTAGTAAATTATATGGCGCGTCAACATATTGCAGTGGAATTCTTGTCTATTTCACTTGTTTATGGCGCAGATAACTGATTTTTAAAAATCGAAGAACAAGTGCTATATCTTATTGTTTATTTGACGGCGGAATGATGGTTAGAGATTCAGATAATAGGGTCAGTACTGCATCTGGAAGTCAACGAGTATGGACTAAGTCGGCTTTAAAATACGATGATGAACCAGTTGGCTAAACAGCTTTTATACAGCTTCACTAGACGAAGTGATAGAGAAATTATATAACGCCGCTGCAGATAGGCAACTACCATCTGTGACTGTGTTGGAGCAATCAAGCGATGGTACAATACCTGTAAAATTAGTGGTAAGTAGATCCTTTTTATTGCATGTATGTATATATAAACTGTATTGTGCTCGCCTCGGTATTGCGTCTGAACACATCTGGTGTGTGTAACTTAATATTTAGTATGAACTGGATTGTATGTGACAAAAATATATAAAAACGTTTATAAACACAAGCATATTCATAGCCTAATAATTCGCAATACTCAAAATGATTTTGATTTTGTTTTCAATAGATAGCGATATGTGTAATTGGCAATTACGGGCTGTGGTTCTATTGATGGCTATAGTTTTACTTGGATGGAAACAGAAGAAAATAATTTCCAACAACAGAGACACAGCTGCCTTACGTTTGAACAGAAAAGCGGTCGACTTTAGTTGGATTAGGGCATTAGGCAGATTGTGACTGAGTCAGTTAACCATTGAGTCAAAATTGTGCCACTGTGCAATATCACATTTACTGTAATATTTTGAAATTATATTAATCTTCAAAGTCACAAATATATTTCTCACATAAATAGCGTACCAGTACAATATTATAGTATTGTATTATTATATTTATTGTTACTTTATACTATGCAATATGTATTATTGATATGACTGAATATAACTCCAATGTCATCGTTTCTCTCAAAATAACATCAGAAGTCTTGACGAAACTAGGTCAAGCACTCAAGCCGTCAAGGCATGCTGAATTGTTGTCTTTATTTCAATCTCAAAATGCTCTGAACAAGAAAGTAACTTAACAGGAGATAGCCTTTTTACAACCACAAATGCTCTAAAACATAAGAAATGTTAAACACTTTAGACTAACAATATAGCATCATTTGCGCAAAATATTCACCATGTGTCAGTGTGCGAACATATTAATTTGTACTTCACTATAATATATACTTGAATTATTTGCCTTGCGTCTGTTAGTTGTACTTTAGCCAGGGGAACAATTCTAGCCATGTAAATTGTATAAACAGTTTCTTCCTTCAGTATTCTTTCCATTTTACGAGGTTTTGTCGATGAAAATAAGAGATAGCACGAATCTTCAAAACCGACGAGGTCAATCAAAACACTACTAGGTTCGCAGATGCGTGAAAACCCGCGGTCAATGTTTACGGATAAAATTCACTGCCTTTCTTTCACCCTGTGGATCTGTTTCTTTGTTGGGAAATGGATGCATGGGTATTCCTTCAGGCTGTTCAGAATTCGTGCAATAATCTAAGTTAGAACTGCCAGAAACACGGCCTTCGTCTCCGCGTTTGTTGGTTTTACTATAATTTTAATACGCCATGATAAAATCGTGTTCATCTTATGACGTCACATGGCATCAACATGGCCGATCAAAAGTTCGCACAGGAAGTGCCAAAAATGGCCACTTTGGAAGGCTATAAAATCGGTTTGAATTGACCAATTTCAATTCTGTTTGTGGTAAACAGGTCAGGAAGAAAAGCACTTTTAATTAAGCTAAAAAAATGAGGGTCGAAAAATTCGCTGCAGTAGCACTTTGACCCCGTACGCTAATATTAACCCCAATGACCCTTGTTGAAGAGGTTTCAGAATGATTTGAAGTAGACGGCTGTACCAAAAAAGTAGCCGGCTGTGACTGATAGTTAAAAAACCGCGCGGGAGGGGGGCCTGCCCTCGCATGGAAATTTTTAAAATTTTCGCCGCAAATTAACAATCAAATTATATAGAAAAAGTAAAAAGACAAAGTACAAGTTTAGATGTCATTTGCTTTTATACTTGTAAGTGACAATGTACTACTTTAATGTGCTACTAGAAGTTCAATTTTTTTACAGCTGCATGAACAGAATGACAATTAATGTACACTATTAGTATTAATTTATGAGCCCGAAATTAATAATCAAATGATGTCATACTTATGTACGTAATGAACTTTACTTCATCACTTTATCATAATTAATTCACTGTCAAAGAATTAGTAACTTTAAAAACATTTACCAAAGTAGCTCTGAATCTGACTCGTTCTCTGGCTCACTGTCAAATTCGGATTCCCCAATGCTTAAGTCACTGCCAGAGTCAATCTGAGTCATCTTCTTGTTCAGGAAGATTCAGAACCGCTGACCATTTGCTACGAAATTCAAGATGGCGACGAGAAAACAAAGAATGTTTATATTATCGCTTTTTCGACAGCAACTTAAGAAAATAAGCTATGTTTGGTACTATGTATTATTGATCTTATTTATCTTCCAAAATAAGTGATGTTTTGCTTGAATTCCAATTGGAACATAACAAACATCGTGTTGGTTCGCTTGTACCTTTGTATATAAAATTTTTCCTGTGACCAGACGAAAAGTAGCCGGCGGTAAAAGTTCAAGTAGCCGGCGGAACTCCGGCGGCCGCCGGTTTATTCTGAAACCCCTGCTTGTTGGTTATATAATCACAGATAAGACAGCTTGTACGACATATACGATTCTATATGCGTTGGGAATGACTTTCAACCTGATAAAACATGTTAAAATAAAGACTTTACTAATTACTAAGAATTTATACACATCTCTATACAGTGTGAACATGCGTTATGCACTTAGCCTGTGGTGTATAAACGGTTCGTATTTCAAGGATAAAAGGAACCGCGCAGCAGGACACCGCAGACACGAACTCACAGAGGCACAGAGCCACAGAAGATCGCGCTTACGGTCTCTCACATAGTGGTTAGCTGCGCATGCGCGGCTACCCACAAAAAGGGTTGAGCGGCCTGTATATTACTACTCCCGTTGTCTCTTCGTTTTCGGTTTATTCTTCATTCCTTTCTAATAAACTTTGGGTTTAAAAGGCATTCAATAATTCTGTACATGTTCACATTAATTTGTTAAGATACCGGAGACAAACCATGAAAAATGAAAAACCAAGAGAGTGCATTATGGCGTTATAATGCATACTCATTAGCCAATTAAATTAAATGAAAAGCACTTCTCGTAGATTACGACTTACGAATTTCACGAGTCGTCAAGAGCGACAGTTTTGGACAACCATCCTATTTTCTACTACTACATTTATCGACTAATTTGGATTCACATCTACTTTTATATTAGTGCATGAAAGTCAAATCTAGATGTTTACTAATAATGAAAAAGAAATGCAAACGACGATCTGCACGAAAGTTATTATCTCACTACCAATTAATATCCCAGTTGCGCATATTATTAGCTGTATCGGACCACGCTGCATGCCTTGCACCATCCATTTCTGGAGCTAAACTGTTGTCAGAAACAAGACGATGTTGCGTCCCACCAATTTTGGTTCCACATTCTGGACACTTTCCTTCTTGAGTAGCACCTCCACATTCCCCGATACAGTAAATGTGCCCTGAAAGGAAAATGCAATTATTAATTCGTCAGCATTCTATTTCTGTCAAGGTAGCAGTTGAGCGCGCAGCGCGAGTGGCTTTAGACCTAAAGCCGGTTTTCCACAAGCGAATTTTTCCGCGCGAAGCGACCTTTTTCCTTTGTCGGCATCCATTTTGCCACGTCTTGCTGACGTAATAAGTGATACCGACAAAGGAAAAAGGTCGCTTCGCGCGAGAAAATTCGCAAGTGGAAAACAGGCTTAGTAAAACACGTTCTGCGAGAGAACGGCTTCAAACACGACAGTCAGGGGACCGTGAACAATTGTTTGCTAAGTGATATTAATAGAAATTATTTGCATGTAAAGAAAATTTGCATGTTGTTTTGGGATTAAAGGCAGTTTTTCATTTAATCCGTAACGTAGCGAAACGTAGCGTATTTCTTTGCTTCGTGAACACCACTGGTGAGGAATCAGGCAGAACTAATTAGGTTGAAACAAATGATATACAGTGTGTATAAAAAAGCTAGTCTTTGAAACTCAAATTAGTCATAATTACAGTGATCTCATTGTTCTAAATTGCGTAGAGTTAATGATACGCGACGAAAACATGTCTTATTTACAAAAGAGATCAATTATAACTTCATTTTAATGCTGCTTGTACTATACAGGGTATTTCATTGAGTTGTCCGTACATGGCCATAAGTAGAGAATCTTTTGTTTTACGGCTCGCTAATTGTTAGAAGTAATTATAAATTCAATACAATATGACTAATTTGAATTTCAAAGACTAGCACTTTTATACACCCTGTAGATTAAGTGGAAAACAGGCTTAATTAAGAGTTTATTCAAATTAGTCAGTTCGCGACGAGAAGATATACGGGCATAGACTATGGCGTCAAACCGAACATTTAGGAAGCCCAAAAGTGCCGAAGAAGAGACGCAACTGGCAGAAAATGCCGTGCCAAAGTCAACCCGTGGCGTTACTGAATGGTCAATGAAGACCTTTTCAGAGTCGCAGGGAAAAGGATTAATTTAGCTAAGAAAACGTCCGATGAACAAGGCAAGTCAGTTGATGGCAGTTCAAAAATTCGAGATTTGGATATTAACGTGTGTAATATGTCGGCAAAGACACTCAATTTCAGGTTAACGAAATTTGTTATGGAAGTGTGTAAAGAGGATGGAGAATGTTTTCCCCCTCGAACGCTTTATAGTATTTGTTGTGGTATTCAACTCTATGTAGCGTGGTGTAATGGTGTAAATGCATTTACGAATTTGGACAAGAAAGATAACAGGTATAAGGATAGTAATTGGCATGCATTAAGTATTTTCTAAGTAATTGAGACATTAAGTGAAAAATTGGGCCATAATCATTCGTTTTAATGTATTTGGTTTAGAGTTGCTACTTTCAGACGGCCCTTGGACAGTGAAATGAGACAAGCGAATTACGAAGGCATTGCCAATAAGTGAAGCTATAAGTAGGGCCAAGAAAGAAGGACAGAGAAAAGCGGACAGAGAAAAATGTTGTGGGACTACAGCAGGCTTTTGAACTTATTGAATCGCAGAGGTATGAAGGAAGTTGTTTAACCTCATTAGTATTCTTTATATAAAACTTCACCTTTATTAGTATTCGTTATTTTAAACTTCACCTCTATTAGTATTCTTTATATAAAGAATACTAATATAAGGGTGAAATTTTATATAAAGAATACTAATGAAGTGAAAACACATTCAGCCCCTCTCTCCCCTGGGTCGGCTGGGACTGAAATGAAATACCGTCCCCAGGCTTTTAATATTGTAGCCTATATTACTGGTTTTAAAGGTGTATGCATGTGATTGATAGAGAGTTTAAGTTCGACTTCCGGTACCAATACCGATACTAACAACATGTCATGCGCATGCTCTCTGCTCGCAAGAAGTACGAGGACAAGTGTATTGGAAATCACCACTACCGAAGTCGGCCTTGTATTGGAAGTTGGGGGAATTGTAAGATAAACTCATATAAATCGGATATTTCATAATTTTACGATAAACATGTAAACTATTTGTTTATTAGCATCGTCTGAGTCATATTTTAGTCGGAATTTTAGCTCAGCTGCCGTTTAGTATACCGCACATTTTCGGTGACGATTAATGTGTTCTATACTTTATCTGTCGTGATAACTTAACGCTTTAAAATTCCCGGTAGCAAAATGAGAACGGAAGTGAAAACATTGGTATCGGTATTGGTATTGGAAGTCGAACTTAAACTCGCTATTATCGATAATATGACAGGTTGCAATGTTCATGAATTATTAAAGAGTTTTTGAAAAAAATTAATAAAACCATTATAAGGCATTCAAACACTCATTAATAATTCATAAGCTTATTGGCAAATCATGTCAACCATAATGTGTCACGTGCAGTGGCTTTAAACCTGATAAAACACTCCTAATTAGTATTCTTTATATAAAGAATACTAATAAGGCAGTATCTATTGTAGTCGTGTCCTCATTAGTATTTTTTATATAAAGAATACTAATAAGGCAGTATATCTATTGAATTTGTAGTCGTGTTTGAAGCCGTTTAATAAACTCGCAGGTCGTGTTTTATTAGGTCTAAAGCCACTCGCGCTGCGCGCTCGTGTCTTTAAACCTAATAAAATACTCCTGCTCGTTTATTAAACAGTACTTAAGAGGCAGTCTCTGTAAAAGCGGTCCACTGCATTTCGGATCAGAAAATAGTTTTCTCCCAAACTTTTACCCTGAAATAGCACATACCAGTGAGTTATGAAACTGACTTTGGTTTTTCAATTTTCATAAAAATAATTTTTTTTACAGCGCTTTAGTTCCAGGCGACCGTGTTCGCTGAATTTGCACATTTCGTTGACTGAAAATTACACATATTTAAGACATTACAGCTCACGGAATATAGAACTTTGCACCAAGATCTTTTTTCTCAGTCTTGTTTATGATGATGATGATAAACTTTATTTAACCACGCTAACATTGTCAGCAGAAGCTGGTTTCCACAATGGGCGTGTAAAAACATTAACAAATTGTTACAAGTAAAATAATAAGGAAGTATTAACATGCAGAATATAAAATTATTAAAATATATACAAAAAGTTTGCTATTTACAATGATGTGGTTTTCTTTATAAGCTATAGGTAGCGATTTTTCTTTTAAAACTTGAGAGCGAATTACTTTCTCTTATATTTTTTGGAAGAGAGTTCCATATGGAAGCTCCATCATACATGAAACTCTTTTTCATATTGTTTGTGTTTGGCTTGGGCAAACGTATGGTACTTGAGCTGTTACGAAGACTGCGGTTTAATATTTCTTTTTTGAAAGTAAATAATTCTTTGAGACAATTTGGCCCCATGTTATTTAGCGTTTTAAACATTATTTTTGCCTTTGCTTTCACTCTTTGTTCCTTGAGTGGTTCCCATCCTAATATATTTAGCACAGTTTGTTGATCTACCTCATTAGGCACACATGCTATTACACGAGCAGGTCTGTTATGAAGTTTTTGGAGACGCGTGGATTGCGTTTCACCAAATATATTCCAAACTTCACAACAGTAGCTAAAGTATGGTTGAATTATAGCATTGTATACGGAAACAAGTGTTTTTTGATCAACATATTCTTTAATGCTTTTAAGAGCGTATATTCCAGATGATATCTTTTTACATATATTATCTGCATTGCTCTTCCAACACAAATTTTCATCAACAGTCACACCTAGTGTTTTACATTGAAAAACCTGCTTTATGGGTATGTTTTGAATGTGAATTTTAAGTTGCTGAACAGAAGCTTTTTTCAGCATCTGTTTAGTACCAATAATTTGAAATTCAGTTTTCGCCACATTCAAGCTCAGTTTGTTTGCCATGAGCCATTTACGAAGCATTTCTAAATCTGAGTTTACTGCATCTTCAAGATCACTTAAGCATTCTCCAGCTGCTGTGATATTTGTATCATCAGCACACAGCCGTGGTTTTGTTTTACTCAGACATGCAGGTAGATCATTAATATAGAGTAAGAAGAATAGTGGCCCCAATATAGACCCCTGGGGTACACCACATTTGACGTCATTTTCCCCTGAAATAGATCCATTGACTTCACATCTTTGAGTACGACCAGTTAAGTATGATTTGAGTAATAGAAATGCACTTCCTGTGATTCCAACTAGTTTTAGTTTTTGCAATAAGATCTCATGGTCAACAGTATCAAAGGCTTTTTTTAGGTCTACAAATACAACCAAATTAAAAAGTTTTCTATCCATGTTTATGTACCAATCATTTGTGCAATCAAGTAAAGCTGTTGCAGTTGAATGAAATTTTCTGAAACCAAATTGATGTTCAGAAAGTATGTTATTTGCACTCAAATATTCATAAAGTTGACTATTTAGGATACGTTCCATAACTTTACTAATGGCTGGTAACACAGAAATTGGTCGATAATTTCCTGGCAAGTTTCGTTTGCCATTCTTAAAAAGGGGAATTACTCTTGCAATTTTCCATTCATGTGGAAAAGTACATAAAGTTATTGCTTGATTAAAGATGTAAGTCAATGAATCGGAAATTAATGGTGTAGCAATTTTGATTATCTTGCTGGATATTTTATCCAGGCCAGTAGCTTTGCTACCAGACAGTTCACGTAATAAAAGACAAATATGACTAACAGTAACTGACTGGAATGCAGTAAATTCAGAATTAGTTTTATCAAGGAATTCTTTAGAATGACATCCTGGTGTACTAATTTCTTCGGCTAAATTCGGTCCAATATTTGAAAAGAAGGTATTGAAGCCCTCAGAAATTTCATCAGGGCTTGTTAATTTTATGCCATTTAAGTTTAATTCGTTTACTTTAGTTCTTTGATTTTGTTTACCAAGTAAGGTATTAATTGTCTTCCAAGCAGCTTTTGGATGTGCAACATTTTCAAGTGCAAAATACAAGCGAAACTTTGAATGTCGGGAGAAATCCGGGGGGAGGAAAAATACGCAATGATACTCGTTTTACGGCCTTCAATAAAATCAAACCTAAAATCACGACAAACTGACCCTCAGAAAATAGCTTTGATCTCTTAAGTCCAGCACTAAAAACCTAAAGCTTCTATTCCAATCTACTAATCTAAGGATGTATAAAAAGGATTGATAAAAACATTTTACGCTTTTTATTTAGATTCTGCACAACAACCTCGAACTTTCTGTGTTTTTAATGCAAATTACATTAGTTAGGCGGTAAATATAAACTGTAATGAAAGACCGTTATTTGCTTCAACTTTTATTGCATTCGGATTTAAAGCATTAAATTTTTCTTATTTTCGAATTTAAAGTTCAAGAAATTTACTACTAAATGGTGCCAGCTGAAGTGTTTTATTGTTTGTGCAAAATACTTGACTGTTTATTATGCAAGCTTAATATTTTACCAAAATAGAATTTCAAAACAGCAATTCCGTTTTTTTACTCAGTTCGAGTTCGGAACTTCGGATAAAATCTTGTTAGACGCATATACAAATTTATTATATACGCAAGGTCTGGATATGAGGTACTCTGCAATCAAAAACAAAATGGCGGCTCAAATTGAGTTTCCGACATTTTGCGAACGAGAAAATGGCAAGTTGTTCGCTTTTTATAACCTTTACAGGATTAAAAACACAAAGAAAAAACTCCCACAAATTGTTTACAGGTTAGCAAATGAATTTTTAAAATTTAGAATGGTTAAAAAATATGTTTTTGAAAAAATACTCGGCCGAAAGAGCGAAGATAAAAACATAAAAATTAATAGAAAAATATTGAAAATATCCGAAAAGCAAAGTCTGTGAATTCAGACCTTGTGTATGTAATAAAAGTCTATCAGACCTTGTGTATGTAATAAAAGTCTATCAGCTCGTATTCGACTCGAGTTCGTAGAATAACTGTTAAATATCCGATATTCTTATATCACTTAATTGACTTAAACCTAGGAAAAATAACCAAAACACATGTACATATACCACGACGAAATCGACCGATCTTACTGAACGTGACTTTATATTTTAAGGCTTAAGGCAGCAAGTGATATTATAATTTTTAAAACATTTTGCACTTTTATTTTAGTATATTCTACATAGCAACCTCGAACTTGCTTTTTGTTAATTTATAAAGCCTGACATGACACATTAAGACATAAAAATAATTAGAACTATAATCTAGAATTTACCTGAATTGACGGGCAACTTCTAGAATGTCATTATTAATTATTTCGGAATTTTTTTAGCGTATAAGACCTATTGCCCCTATGGCCATGATGAAAAATCAAGGGTGGGTAGTAGAGAAGTAGTTGTCAGTGTCGTCGCGAGGAACTCGCTTCAGGGGGCGTTTGGTTAAATCAACCTGAAAGTATCAAAATTTCGAATTTTACCTGAAAATTTTTTTGTTACCTGAATATTTTTTTTGGTGACCCCCCCCCATCGCCAAAAAATTTTCGGACAGTGTACCATTTTAGGGGTAAAAAAATTTTTCCGGACATATCAAAATTTTTCGCGACATAAAAACAATTTTCCCAACATCACAATTTCTAAAATTCTGAAAATTTCTAGCATATTCTAAAACTTTTGTAAATATACCTCATTTTTTTCCAAATTCACAGTTATTTTTGTAAATTAACTTTCTCTTCTCCTAGGAATTACCTGAATTTGCGTTCATTTACCTGAATTCCTTCTGCAAATCTACCTGAATTTACCTGAAATTGACCATATACGGCCCTGGTAGTTGGGTTAGGTTAAAACGCGGAAGCGGATGCGGAACGGAACGGATATGCGGAACGGAACGGATATGGGGTTAAAATGCGGAACGGAACGGATATGGGTTAAAACGCGGAACATGAAAAATCATGTCTGCTTTTAAAAAACATTTTATTCCCGTTCCATTCCGCGTTTTAACCCCATATCCGTTCTGTTCCGCATTTTAACCCCATATCCGTTCCGTTCCGCATTTTAACCCCATATCCGTTCCGTTCCGTTCCGCATATCCGTTCCGTTCCGCATTTTAACCCCATATCCGTTCCGTTCCGCATATCCGTTCCGTTCCGCATCCGTTCCGCATCCGCTTCCGCGTTTTAACCTAACCCCCTGGTAGTTGTAGTTCGCTACTGTAACGAACTACAATTTTCAAATAGCCAGTAGTTTTTTACTATACTTTCTGTAAAGATCAGGTAGCTTTCGAAACGCCACATTCCGCAAAAATCTCTGAAAACTCTAAAAAGCATGCCATGCCTTCTGATTGAATCTTAAATTTAGACTTTTAAGTCATTAATGTGTTGTTTTGTGTTGTTAACTAATTAATTCGTCACATGCTGAAAGCACGTAAAGATCTGATGTCGATTTCATCGGTAAAATACAAAGCTTGCGTAATAAACAGTCAAGTATTTTGCACAAACAATAAAACACTTCAGCTAGCAAAGCCGTCCGGCACAATTTAGTGGTAAATTTCATGAACTTTAAATTCGAAAATAAGAAAAATGTAATGCTTTAAATCCGAATGCAATAAAAACCACACACAATACTAAAATGCGGTGCGTTTCCGCCTACATGTACAAGTCAAGTAAAGTTATATTTAACATGCCACATCCTCCTGTCGGCCGCCAGTTGGTCCGTACGTTGGGATCAAAACTGCGTTTTAAAGCCTTCGAAATAAAATATTTTTGGCTCAAAATACTATCAAATTGAGGAGAAAGTGAGACAAATCCACTGGCATACGGCCGAAAACGAGAAAACCGACAATTCCGAAATTATCAAGGATCAAACGGACTGCATTTTTAATTATAGTTTAATAATTTTGAGCGATTTGTCAACAATACAATTTCGCTTATTAAAACTGCACATTAAAACCTTCAAAATATAATATTTTGGACTTAAACTACTAACAAAATAAAGAGAAAAGTGAGACTAACCACTGGTTAGAGAAAACCAACAATACGAAGTCAATCAAGGTCAAATGTACTGCATTTTTAATTAGTTTAATAATTATGAGCGATGGCAGTGTGAACAATACAATTTCGCTTGTCTTTCAAAGGCCATAAATCGCTAGAATACTGTTGTTTAGTAATACATTTGACATCCGTAAATACAACTTTTCACGATAATTCGAACGGTAGTATTTTTGTCCTTATTGGGCGCATAAAACCAGAGATAAAGCCTAGCAAACAGTCGATCATGAGAGTACCGACAACAACCAACAAATTCCGAGCACGTGCAAGGAATTTTTTGTAGGTGATTATGGAAACGTTTGATGCGAACAAACTAACAAACGGACCGACAAACTAACAAACAGATAAACTAACAAACTCACAGGCAGAATATAATGTGGTGCCCAAGTTTGGGCATCGCAATTGAAGCAAATAACTGTCTTTCATTACAGTTTATATTTACCGCCTAACTAATGTAATTTGCATTAAAAACACAAAAAGTTCGAGGTTGTTGTGCAGAATCTAAATAAAAAGCGCAAAATGTTTTTATCAATCCTTTTTATACATCCTTAGATTAGTAGATTGGAATAGAAGCTTTAGGTTTTTAGTGCTGGACTTAGGAGATCAAAGCTATTTTCTGAGGGTCAGTTTGTCGTGTTTTTAAGAAGGCCGTAAAACGAGTATCATTGTGTATTTTTTCCTCCCCCCACATTTCTCTCGACATTCAAAATTTCGCTTGAATTTTGCACTTGAATGAATGAACAAGACTGAGAAAAAGATCTTGGTGCAAAGTTCTATATTCCGTGAGCTGTAATGTTTTAAATATGTGTAATTTTCAGTCGACGAAAAGTGCAAATTCAGCGAACACGGTCGCCTGGAACTAAAGCGCTGTAAAAAAATTATTTTTATGAAAATTGAAAAACCAAAGTCAGTTTCATAACTCATTGGTATGTGCTATTTCAGGGTAAAAGTTTGGGAGAAAACTATTTTCTGATCCGAAATGCAGTGGACCGCTATTACAGAGACTGCCTCTTAATGTTGCCATCATTGCAAACTGCATCTTATTATTACCACGACAAGTTTGATTGAAAAATGTGTTTTAACGCATTCATACTTTTCTCACTTTGGGATTTGAGGATTCTAAATCATAAACTAATTATGCTAATTCATTTGAAAACAATCAAAAACACGAAAAACAAAACAAACCCAAAATTTTGTCTTATAGTGAAAAATATCAAACAACGCATATAATATTAATATAAATATAATACTTTCCCAAGAAAGCAAAAAATTCACCAAGTGAAAAGGTTTTTGTGTACTTATCACCCTAAACAGAGTGAGTTTTAATACACAAACATACAAGTTGCATAACTTTGGTTGACAAAAATAAATAACATGGGAATGCCTTTTGTCGGGAAGTTAGGATAGCAGGGACGGGAAAAAATCAATTTTTTTTCGTAACATAGAATTTTCTCTTTGTATTTTTCGCAAAGTTGCATTCATACAAACCAAATTTTTGTTATTAGCTGCGTGCTATATCATTTACCTTTAGGACATTTAAACCAGTGACCCTGTGCGAGACCAATGGCTTTCACAATGATTTTCTTTTCCTCCTCAGTTATGGCTGTGTACTTCACGCCGAGTGCTTTGTTACGTGTAATGTGCTCAAGACATGTTGAGCAATTCTTTTTAATCTTCTCGCCTAAATGCATACAGTAACTTAATTAATTAAATGTTGCACTTAAACACATGTTTATAAGGCCGGATTGCGTGGTTGTTGGCTTGTAGGAAAAGGTGCATGAACAAGAGCAAGAAAATAAAACATTTCACTGGAGCCATATAAGGGCCCTGCTTATACGAGCCATACGGGCAGAAAATTAAAAATACGCAGGGCGGTGTACGTCTTGAAATACGCCAACGGAATAATATTTTACAGGGAATTGCAACGAACTAACTGTTATATAGTAACAGTGAAGTGCAATTTGTATAGGAAGTTATATTGATTGAGAAGTATAAATGGAAATCGCACGCATGTTTGGTGTAATTTAACACCTCCTGTGCGTACGCACGAGGCTTTTGTACGACCGAAAATCTACTTACTAAGTTTAGCTCCAGTTTCAAGGTTTCCCGTCACGTATGCCATATATCTAGTCTCGCTTTCGGATAGGTTGATCTTTCCTTTTCTTATTTCTAATTTTAAAGCCAGGTACGAGAGCATCAGCCACGCACGATGAAGTTCTTCGTTAAATTCCTCCAGTTCTTGCTCGCTGAATCGCCTTCGATCCTTCATCACCCATTTCAACAAGCCATCCAGTTCACACTTCATCAATTCTATTTCTGGGTCATCGGTACTTACGTCATCTTCCCAAAAATAATTTCTGTGATGAACAGGTCTGCGTTTTACTGATTCTGCTCGGTTGATAATTTCTTTCAACTTGGTCATAAATTTCAGGAATTGAACTTGATTTTTAATGACATTTTGTTCTTCGCTTGTTGTTAATCTTTCTAACTTTCGTTCGATGTTTAAGATTTCTGCGGGAAACTCGCTTTCCATGTGGCCGCTCGCAATATCTTGTCTCACTTTTGCTCCAAACATTCTTATAGACGCAGCACCTCTAGAAGATATGGTTTTCTTAACTCCTTCAAAGTCTTGAAGGATTGCCTTGATGATATTTCCTAAAATATAGAAAAAGATCATTGCACACCTTTGTCAGGGATATATAAAAATACATAGAATATATAAATGACTTCTGTTTAGTTTTTAGACCATCATATCGTGATAGACCAGGAGTAGTATCTGACTTTATTATATGGACAATGGCCGTGTTTTACTGGAAACTAAAACACTCGTAAAACTCGTATACGTCACTATATCCGGGACCAGACGCGCGTATTTTCCGTATTTCACCCCAACCTCGTACCCAGGTTAAATTTTTCTAAAGACCCTGGGTACGAGGATGATTACATACGAAGTTCGAAAATTTCCCGACATTTTCATTTTCATTTCATGCTCACGTTGCACAAACTAAGCTTCCTGATTGGACAATTTGAATTTGAGGTATAATATAAATCCATATCTCCTTGCAACCGTCTAATATCCCTCATATATTACTTCTACTGAAAGACTTTATACTTTGGTTCCGATAATTGGACTATACAGTACACCTGTATATAGGAATCACTCGTATTCAAACTGTATTATTAGGTATTAAAACGTCGACAAAAATGGAAAACGAGAAAACTATCTATCTCAATATAGTGGGCGGATAAGTTTATTGTGCATTTTGTAGGGAAACCATCATATTGACAGGACGTTGTAGACTTTGACACAAGTATATGAATATCAGATATGGAGGCATCTGTGAAATTAGCGCTAATAGCCAAAAATTTGGAATTTCTGACATTTTATTATACATTTCTACTACTGCTCGAATTCTGAAGTACTTTTAAGTACTAAATTAAAATTCACTAGAAAAATGAGTTTTATCACTTCTATGGCAAAATAATAGACACAAATGCATACAGAACATTGAAGCAGTTTTTATTTTCCAAATATTTCCTGAGCAAAAACAATCTTGAAACCAGAGCCCGCAATCCTCTGTGGAGGCTTGCTGAGGCTCTGGGAAACACCGGCGACTTTTGCACGAAAATCAGTACATTTGGATCCAGTACTCCGCTCGACATTTATAAATAGACATTACTGCCGTCAAACATGAATTATGCAGTTGTTTAAGCTTATTACGACTTTAATTCTTCAAAGAACACTTGCCATGGTTTTGAATTGTTGTAAGATACTGGTAGTGATTTATTTTAACTTGTTTAATTACGGTAAATCATGGATTGTTGTGTTATTTTAAATATTATAGGCAACGGCTTATCATGACCTAATATGGTAATGCTGCACTGTTGTTATTCTAATTTTGTTATTTATAGCATATCAATATCAGAAATAGAATAGCCTGCGTAGCAGGCGTTTAATTGACGGGCGCGGGAACTGAGGAAACGCTAGCCTGCGAACAGGCCCTGGGTTGCGGGCGGCGCGAAGAATAGAGGGCCTGCACGGAACTATAGGTTTTCTTGGTAGTGGCGTTCGTATAGAAACGCAGGCTTCTGATTGGCTTACACTCGTTGACAAAATTACTAAAAATAGCAAATGTCAACAACAGCATTTTGAAGAATTTGAACTTTGTTCATTTTAATATTATATATTATAGGACTATCGAACAAATAAAACTAGAAATGGAAACCAAAAGCAATAGCAAAGCATCACAGCAAAAAAGTCTATCATAAATGACTTGAATCTATCGCTTAAATCCAATATACGAAACTATAACAGTATTCTGAACTTCGTCTTCGGATTGACATCAGACTATAGTATAGTACATTTTGAGGTCGTCGTGGCTTCACGGATTATTCTCATTAGTGAGCAAGTCAGCAAGCGAAGGCATACAAAAGATACCCAAATATGTACGAATAATTATATTGTTGATCCTCGCTGGCATGTCATTTAGATAAATATATATCGTACATTACTGTAAACGTTGTACTATTTACTGTATATTAACTGCTGACAATTTCGTCGTCGATACGGCTTCCACTATTGGCACACTCGTGATTTCGAAGAAATTAATAAATACATGCTCATTTATCATTTATTTAGACCACAGTTAGTAAAATTTTAAACGTATTCGGTATTCCAAATCCCAATCTATCTGACCGTATTTTAGTAATAGCTTCAAAATATTCAGAACATTGTTCTTTCAGTCGCACATAGTACAAGTATTACTGTACATTCAAAGCCAATGGTAGTTTATTCGGCTTTATATTTGTATGTGTATTGATATCTATTTAATATTTGAAGAATTCTATATTTTTCCGAGTAATATATTGTGCGGCCCGCTAATGCTTTGTATTATTGTTCATGTTGCACAATGTACACGCCTTGCGTCAATTTGACAGTTGACAGTTTATTTATCGCAGTCGACGCTGATTGGTTAACGTTTAGCAGATGCGAAAAGGGGATGATTGAATAAAACGCATGGTTCCGTGCAGGCTCACCTTTCTCCCAGTGAGCCTGTTCGCAGGCTAAGGAAACGCCTGCCCAAATGGCTATGACAAATTTGTTTTCGACCATTAAGGATGATTGACGTATTGTAATTAGCACCTTCACCAATTATCCAATCATAGTCGAGATTTATATTTAGCATCATGCATGCTTTTTGCTCGGCAACTATCGGGAGATTTGCAGAGACTTTATGTACTATTTAAAACATGAGCAGCAGAGTTTTATCAGATATAAAGATGGTCTGATAAAACACGCACTGCGAATGTTTTAAATTGCTTCAAAAACGATCGATCTACAGTATAAGTTCATTGGCGAAATAGCTTTAAAAAAATTCGTTGTATGTAAATCAAGGGAAATCTCTATCACATATAAAGATACACGTTTATGATTTTTCTTTGTGTTGCTTCCTCATGAATTATTAATGAGTTTTTGAAGCTATTTTAGACAACAGTCACAACACAGTCAGAGAGCTTTTATCTTTTAAAAGGCTCCTGAACCACGGTTGTTTAACGTATTCTGCCGTATAGCAAATTAACTGCAAAATTATAACAGTTGAGCATGTTTTGAAATGTTATTCTTAAAATCATCATCCAACCTCATAGCTGCAATGCCAAGTGATGTAGCCTCAACTATCTGGTCTTGAATTATACTTCAAAGTGAACAAATATTAAACAAGACAACCATGAGGTCTATCCCTGCCGCTCGGGCAAGCTTTGATTTGCAGATTTTCCAATTCCGTATTCCGTAGGAAGAATCGCGATAACCGGCGTCTTCACCACGTAGCAAATTAATAATAGACTTTCTCTATTCTGGTTTCAACTGAATTTTGAAGCCTAAATACTTGAAATATAAGAGTTTCCTCGAAAAGCAATAACAGGCGGCATATTTTCGATATATACGCTAGCAAAATTATTGTTGACATTCGAGTTACGTAATTACTTCCGCTAACGAGATTGACCAATGGGAAGCTTTTCCGAAGATTCTTCGGAGAAGAACAAATTAATCATAGGCATTTGGACAGGCGTTTATTTAACGACGCCCTCTCTTCTCCCGCCCGCACTATACGCCTGCTACGCAGGCTAGAAATAGAATAGTCTTTTGATTTCATATGAGAAGCTAGGAAAGCTTAATAAGTTTATTAATATTATGCTGTGTGTTTCATTGATATGTTTAAACATAATACACAAAGAGAAATAAACTTTATATTAATTTTAAACGATGTTTGAAATCCGAATACCTAAATACGCCTCAAAGTTTGAATAATAATTAGCACTTGAAAAACATTGAGGGCCGCTTGGGCCTGGGGACGAGGATCTTGAAAAACAACCAATCAGAGCCCGACTTTCGCCGGTGTTTCCCAGAGCCTCAGCAAGCCTCCACAGAGGATTACGGGCTCTGGTTTCGAGATTGGAGCAAAAAAGGCGATTTGAAGCTAGTGCCAGTCTTTGCACCTACTTTTTATCTATTTTGTGCGATTTCGAAATTGATTAACTTAAAAACGACTTAATTGGCAAATAAAAAACTGCTTTAATTAACTAATATGCTATAGACAATTTTTGTGTACGTTTCAACCATACAACTTTTTTCCGTGAGCTGCCTTGGAATTTTAAAATTTCTATCAGTAATTAAAGCCAGTTTATATTAAAATGTCAGAAATTCAAAATTTTTAGTTATCGGTCAGCGTTAATTTCACAGATGCCTGCATATCTGATATTCATATACTTGTTTTAAAGTCTGTACATACTGTCAATATATCATCATGCTTTCCTAATCACTAACTGCATGCACAATTATTGAGAAACTGTGCGCTTATCCGCCCCACTAATATTAGTAAGCTCAAATCGATACAAATTATCGTAACTCATTAATAGGATAAAATATATATTTGGAGTACAAACCATATCTCAGACTTGTGCGTATTGCTTTTTTACATCTTGGGCATTTGATCATCTGTATGCTTGTAGATTGACCTTTTTTCATCTCCTTCTCTTGCGTGTCTATATAGCCATCCATTCCATTCACTTCAAATACGTGACCACAATCAGCTAGCTCTAAAAATCTTGCTCCTTCTTCATCCTCATAGCCAAAGAAAATTTCGGTCAGTTCATCTTTGTCGCAAACCAGACACTTCTTTGGGCATGGTTCGCCACACAGGCCAGCACACCGGTGACCACATTTCTTCAATCTTTTCATACATGGCTCGCTACAGCGAGGCCGGTTACACATCTCACCACATAACTTGGTGCATTTCCAATGCCTGCACTTCCACTGGCAAGATTCGTTGCATTCTGTACATGGCTGTCCACATTTGTAGTGGCAATCGCTATGAGAGCACCTGTTTTCGCACTTTTCAGGACATGGTGGACAGTTCTTTGTACAAGGCACTTTGCAGTTGTGGTCGCAAAACATGACACGGCCACATTTTGAAGCACAAGGTTGATGAACACGTCCATGTTTGCATCCACCACAAGTCCCTAAAATAAGCAAGAAAATTGTAGAAAATTGAGAGTAGTTCTAACATTATTAAGAATTGCATGCTCCACATAGTTGAAAAAATCTGTTGGTGTATTCATATGACGTGCAGTTTATACTTGCTGAAAATATTATTATCTCCGTAATGTTTTATTTTTGTGTGGGTTTGTTTGTCTGTGAGCAGGATTACATCAAAATCTACCGAAGTGTTTCGAAAATTTGTGATCACATTTTGGTTGAACTGTGACGAAAATTGGACGTCAAATGTACAATTAGAGGGTTTACCTTGGTTTTCCGGACCGTAGAAACTGAAGATAGATGTAGCACTACGTGGCAATGTTTTGCCCAAGTACGTTATGATTGAAATATTATTGAAAAATATTATATTTATCCTAGGTATTGTATGTTGGTATAGGGCAATATAACAATTTTGATTATATCTGAGATTTGCAACCAGATAAATCGAAGACCGGTATATGTAGAAAACTATTGATTAAGGTGTTCTAATAATACACGATGGCACCCCATTGCATGTTCAGAATTTTGAATTGAAGCACAAAATAAATAACTCATTTTAGCACGAACCTTATTAAAAATGCTATTCACATTCGAGTAACTTGAATTCTGCATTATAGGAATGCGATACAAAAATTTGTGAGGAGACATATATACTTCACTTCCTTGCGTGTGGTTTATTGCAGGGAATCTCAAATTTGGAAAAAGTATAATTTTGTAAAGTTTTGTAAAGTGTCAACACAAAGTCAGATTGTAGAGGAGGGACTGCATTGGAAAGTATGTTTGTGCGAGTTTGTGGTAAACTTCAACACATTTGACAGAACATACAGTGTGTCCCAAAAAAAAGGCTACCCTTTGAAGTCAAGCGCTAGTGCCGCATTTGAATGCTTTACACTCCCTAATGAGCCCCGGAATGCGTAAAACGTTATACACGTATATTCATGCATTCCATTCTGTGTTATTTTAGCGGAACAAATTTCAATTAATTTGCAATGCATGCATAAAAATGCTCTGCTATAACGTTTTACGCATTCCAGGGCTCATTAGGGAGTTAAAGCATTCAAATTCGAACATGCGGCACTAGCGCTTGACTTCAAAGGGTAGCCTTTTTTTGGGACACACTGTACGATTTTGTTTGGGCACGGCACGGTACAGCACGAATATCAATTTTCGGGCGACGTCCGTGTTGAAAAACACGTCGCTTGCCTAATTTAAGCTCACTAATGCTCAATTACTTACTGTACCTTGACAGATGTGTTCGCATGTCAGTAAACTTTTACAAGGATGCGGGCACTCAGTCTTTGCAGGATCAACATGACATCGAGTTTTGCATGTATGGTGGCACGGAGACCAAGGTTTGAGAACCTCCTCTATGCATTTTCTTGCGCAAGGTTCTCCACATTTATTTGGACATGCATGACCACAACGAAGCTTCTTTGGACATGGCTTGGTACACTGAAAAGTGGAGGGATCCTGATGACAGGGCATGACGAGACGATGTTGGCAACGGGGAATAACCTTGAATGTCTCATCCATACATTTATTGCACTCCTGGTAGCAGCGACGTTTACACCGATGACCACGTTCGCATGTTTTTGGACAGGGTTTCCTGCAGTCGTATTCTTCGTGATTAGGATCAGTTGGATGACACAGCTGCTCGCATCTATGACCACAAACCAGTCTTGTTCCACAGGGGACGTTGCAGCCACCGTTCGGCGCTTTGTTGAAATCATAGTCGTTACTAACATGGGTGATTGTTGTCGGATGATTTTGACATGCCAGTGGTAGGGATTTTCCAACACAACCCCTTTGTTCCATATCATCTAAAATTTTTGACCAAAGATCATTTGCTGCTCTCATCAAGGTTAAATTCCCAATACAGAAGAAACCTTTCTTTGCTCGCGACAAGGACACACAAATGCGATTATCAATTGCGAGGAACCCAATCAACCTACGAATGTCCCTTTTTTCTTTCGTCGTGATATCTTGGCTTCGAACCAGAGATAGTAGGATGATTTCGTTTTCTTCACCTTGGAAATTATCAACCACACAAACTCTTAAACCATCTTTATTTGGTATAAACTTCTTTAGTTGAAACAGTTGACCACTGTAAGGTGTTAGTACTGTGATTTGAGAGGGCGAGTAACCTTGCTGGAGTAAGTATTGACACAACGAACCAATAAATTTTGCCTCGTGGATATTTGAGTGGCTTTGATTTTCATCTAAGGCATCCTAAATAGAAATATAAAATGCTCGAACTAAGATGCATATTGCGATACGTGTTGATGTGTAAGGTATTAGTTTGTTTCATTTGCCATAGGGGTAGAGTGAACCGATTTCTGTGATTTGAATTACATTGATACGTTTATGGTTATACTTAGACTGTTATAATAGGAGTGTCAAAGTCCTTTATATAATTACGTAACCAACCACGTAACAGGATAATTCTGTGTTTGAATAATTATAGACCACATAGGCTTAGTACAAAAAAAATTATTTTAATAACTACGTTTTGGAGTATAACTCCATCTTCAGGTAAAAAGTGACTGAAGATTATATCATATTATATCTTATAAAGATATATTATTATTATTTTATTATATCTTATTATATCTTATCTTATCTTACTAAAGATTATATCATAACTAAGCCTATGTGGTCTAATTATTCAAACACAGAATTACTAAAATGCGGCTTAGAGAAAGTTCCGTCATAAAACATTTGAAGTAACAAGATAGATGCATCGCTTTTTTTAGTTTAAAGTCGATATATCAATTGCGAAAGCGAGGCTCTACAGCCAAGGGAAAAGACTTTCTGTAATAGTATATTATCGCGTTTCATTCGGTTTAAAAAACGCCATGCTCTTGGAGCTCCAAAAAATCGATCTCTTGGTGCTCCAAAAGATCGATTGCTCAATTTGATAGGTGCATGCTCGTTAAAATAATTGGTACAGCACGAGCAGCCGTGTTGTGTCAGATATTATGGCAATCTCGATTTGAAGGGTAAACCAGAAAGGGTACTAAAAAGACTTAGACTGCATGCGATTAGATGTGGCTTTGCATTAGGTGCGAGAGGAAAGGGTGTAAGTGGGTTATGGCTAAGCTTTCAAAAAGTTAGTGATTGGGTTCTCTGCCAAAAAGGCGAAAAGTGCTTTGTTCCTCTTGGTATAAACAAAATTTTAATAAAATTTTGAATCGGTAAGATTTTAATACGGTAACAAATCCTTGTGAACTTCTTGCATCACACCTGAAACTACAGGAAAAAGGTGAAAAGTGCTTTGTTCCTCTTGGTATAAACAAATTAAATTTTAATAAAATTTTGAATTAAGATTTTAACACGGTAACAAACCCTTGTGAACTTCCTGCATCACACCAGAAACTACAGGCTGTCTATTTTGCTAGCTAGATGGGTTGTTTGTAGATTGAATTTTCGAACGCAAATTATTATCCATTTTTGTTTTGCTGCCCGCGGTGCGGGAAGAGTACATGCCTCAACAGGCCTCTTGTTTGATGTTTAAATTAAGATGCAGTGAAAAATATTTACCTCTTTTACTTGGTGATCAACAAAAAATATATTCTTGTTGATTCCTTTGATTGTTTCAAAATGAAGCACCGATTCGTGATCTATTAAATTGTTGTAGATAGGACGCATCATCACGGAAATTTCAGGACGCATTCTGTGCTGAGCTTTCAGGCAAGCAAAAGGCATATCTAAAAAGGCAAAGGGAATTTTATCAAAACCCAACAGCTATAGGTTTTAGCGGGACGGGAGGCTGGTGGATGCACGCATCATGCACTTAGCGCGCTAACTGCTACATTCTACTGTCGGTCTTTTTGAAAAACAATTTGCATGACTGGTTTAATTGGCTGCGATTCTATATCCTCTGATATAAGGGTCCGCCATTTTTCCTGTTTCTGCAAAAGACCTGAAAAACACGATTTAGTCAGCATTGTTGCATCTCGCGTGTGGAATATTTATGTATTTTACCAGTTTGATTTTTTCACTTCGCCTTTTGACAAAAAAGGGCAGTTTTTATAAACGTAAATAACTGAAATTCAAACAAGTATACGACTATTTTAGATTTTCCCTCGGTATTCTTTTTAATGTGGCTATTTAAGTTCACTAGCTACTGTACTTTCAAATGTTCAAGATTAGGCCAGGCTTGTTTCAACTGTGAAATATGACCATATACTTAATTATATCGTGTATATATACACTCATGGAAGCGAATAATTTTAAACCCTTTCGCTATTTCGCTGGCATGCATGCTGTATAAGCATATAATCACAACTTGTGTATCTCTTATATCTTATTATTCTCACAATATGAATATTTAGGCAGGAATATAAATATTAAGAAAAGGAATATGAATATTTGAAACAGAATTGGAATGAATATTTGCCTCCTCCCGTAGATAGGCCAAGATTATAGGGGTAGGAATGTTAAATATTTAAGGAAAATGTTCCTCGACCTTCCACCCCCGGCCAATTTCATCGTGACCGTTATTTCAATAAACACCTAATAACACCTAACCCTATATAACTTACTATTTTCAACCATTCTTTCAAAAAGAGATATATCGAGTTGATAATCCAATCCCAGTTGAAACACTGTGGGTTTTGGTCGCAACTGCTTGTGATCTCCGATCAGAATTAGATGTTCACATCCTCCAGTTAAAGCCGTCACGATATGGGATTCCAAAACTTCGGCCGCTTCTTCAACAATTGTTATCTTTGGCTTTATACGATGTAAAAGGTTACGATATTTGGCCGCACCTAATAATTATAAACAAAACGTCTGGCAAATGTGCGTGTAACAAAAAAAAACAATGAATGCAATATAGAAAGAAGAACAAAAATGACGACAGCAATATCAACAAATGTACATATTATGATAACTTTAGCGGGCGATGTAGTACATTCTGCCGACAGCTAGAATTTATTTATTAGCCCTTAAATTTGAATGACTGAGATAGAAACAGCCAATCGGTTTTAGCTGGCTCTGGACAAGTGACTCAGAAAAAGAGAAACAAAGATAAAAAATCATATATATCTTCTTAATAGATGGAATAATGAGCAAAGATCCATTCCCGAAACAAAAAACCCAATTAAGTTATATATGTTAGGGACCGGTCATAAAGTAATTACTAGAGGGGGGTAGAGGATAAATGAAATTTCAAGTACATATTTCGATACCCTCCCAAAAACCTATAGAAAAATTTTCGGAACCCCCCTTCAATGTAAGTGAAAGTTTTCATACCCCCACCCCCTTCAATCATTAACAGGTTCTAATGGTGTTAGGCCTGGTTCAAACGTCGAATTTTGCATGTGTCGAATACAATTCGCATTTCATTCGAGCGAATTCAATGAAATTCGACGTTTGATTCAAACGTCGCATTTTGCATGCATTTAATTCGAAATTGTAAGTGTTGTAGAGTGTAGACACGCCCCTTTGATAGTTTTAAATAATAGATTGACATTTATTTTTAACCTAGCTGTGGTTTAACGTAAACAACAAGAGCGAAGTTTCGCTCAAAAATAAACACAGTAATCAGTATGTCAGTAGGGCCATTTATACGACTATACCAGCGAAATCAGCCGTGGCTCGTCTTATTTAAAGCACGAAAAAAATACTATGTAGTCCCGTATATGTATAAATGTTCTTTTTCGCGACTTTATTTTCGTTTGTATGTAAACTCACATCAGGCTATTGACTATTTTTCACACAAACACACAAAAAAAACATGAAATTATTACCATTCTATGTCCTACACGCGAAATTTGATCCATTAACACTACATGCCGTCCTTCTTTTACCTCGTTCCAGACTTTTTTCGCGAGCCCCACCCTAGCAGAATTGAATTCGACACATGCAAAATGCGACGTCTGAAACAGGTCGCATTTAGCTCGCACTTAGCTCGCATTATGCGACCGGTCGGGTCGAATTTAAAGTTAAGGTCGACCGCAATTAAAAACGTCGCATTTACTCGTTTCATACGTCGAATTTTGCATGCACATAATTCAAGCAATTGAAACAGGCCTTAGCTTGCTAGCATTGTCACTGACAATTCAGATGTATCAGATTTGTATTTCAAAAGTTCCATGGATACTGAATCCTACTTATCATCTGACATTGAGTCAGACTGAAGCATATATACTTTGTGTTGATTTAATAATAATTATAGTATCGTTAAATAAATAAACTTAAATATGGGCACAAATACATTCAATATTCAACAATAATTATAAAATGTAATTTTTTCCGTACCTATAGTATTCAGATTTTGGTACCCCCCTAGAGGTTCTGTTGTTTTTTTCGTACCCTCCTCAGATTCTGGGGTTTTTTCGTACCCCCAAAAAATCCTCCACACATCCTAGTAAATACTTTATGACCGGTCCCTTAGTATAGGTAATAGGATGACTTCGAGTTCAGTGCACGAGTGAGTTTTTCAAAGAGCATCAAAATAGCACGAGTCCGAAGGACGAGTGCCATTTGAGGTCTTTCAAAAACTCACGAGTGCTTATTTTGTCCAAATTCTACGAGAAACGATCCGATTACGTATAAATAATATATCTATGCCTATGCACATTGGCGTTGGTAGCAAATACTAAAAGCTACAGTATGTTATGAAATTATATTACGAATTTGTACTTTGAGATAATATGAGAAATAATATGAACACTATTATAATTGATTTTAAAAAGGGAAAACAAATTAGGCATTTTTAATTTTTCTGTTTATGGGGAAATTTACATGGAATGCTATAATTATGATAATGATGATAGCACTAGTATCGTGATGATATTTACCAGTCGTTGTCATTCCTATGACGTGCGCTTCCCGGAGAAGTTCGTAATTTTGCGCGTTCCATAACTCTTGTAGTTCTTTGATTCCTCGGTCGTATTCGGCCTGCACACTTGCGATGGTGTTTTGGTGCTGCTGGCTGATATTTCTGACCCATTTGCGGTACAAGCGCCAGCGATTTTTGATTTGTAACTGCCATACGTCACGAATACCAATTTCTTCCTCGTCACTCATTATATCTTCACTTTGTAGCTGTCTCCTTATTTCAAAAATGATTTTGCTTCTTGCTCGTTTCTTGTCCTGCACTTGCCATTCGCTAGAACCCTGGCCCTGGGCCAATTTTGAAGGATCAACTACGTCAAAGTCGTCGGGCACAAGGACACCTTGATTTTTGAACGTATCATCTCCATCTTCGATCCTCCGTTGGTCTTGCATGAAATCAATTTCATATTCCACATTTCCTGTTGTAAGGAAAAATAAATGATATACACGCTTCAATAAGTTAAAGATTCATTAATATGCGTTATATTTAAATTTGTTATGGTAGTCCTTTTCATACTTTTGATATTTTGGAGGTATAAGTTCGAATCTTATTGAAATATGCTAAAAAAGGTGATTTAAAAACAGGACATTTTGAAGTTTCGTAAAACCTTTAATTACCAAAAATTCGGATGATTCCTCTCGCCCCAGAAAACGTGCCTTGTTTTGTGTCAAAACATTCGGGAATTTGACTGAATTCCTTCGCTTTGTTCTGCTAAAAAATGCCATTAACTATACCAGCAAAACTGATTTCTCGTGGACCGATCAGATGTCACTATTTTCATGATATCGATCGATTTCACGATGTTAAGAATGTAGTCGCATTCCTGAATGTTCCAACGTAAAAACATGACACGTTTTTTCAAGCGAAGAGATTCATCCGTGGTTTTAGTAATTTTAATTCCCGTTAAAATAATCCCCTTTCCTTATTAATTAAAGCTCACTTCTTTCAGAGGAAGAGATTTTTTATGCCCTCCATCCCTATACTAAGCTCCCTACCTTTCTATCACAAAAACAATCACGCGTAATTGATTGAAATATGCTGAACTTTGAAACAAAAGAACGGTCTGCGCATATTATAGAATTGAAGAAATATAAATACAGTACTCATTAACTATTCATAAAGAAAATTCAATATACAGTAAATGAATTATTTAATCAATATTTATAAATCGGACATAGGTTTCTTCCTGATTTACATAAACATGCAGAAGCTTCGATTTTAAACTGAAATTGAAGCACATCGTCAAATAGTTGGTAGGCTCTGGCTGCAAGTACTAAAGGAATACCGAATGGTTTTCCGTGCAGGATTGCGTGATCCTTGCACGAGGGTGTCGCGAGAATTTCGGAAAGCGTAAAAATACTCGAGCCGCAGGAGAGTGTATTTTTATGGCTTTCCGAAAGTCGAGCAACAGCCCAAGTGCATGGATCACGCTGTCCTGCTCGGAAAACCATTTGGTAATTGTTTTATAAAATAACTACAGTGAAACAATTGCATTTTGAGAATCCCGCGAAGGCATTTTAATTCCTCGTGCAGGATAGCCTGTTCCTGCACGGCTATTGACCAATCAAATTGCGTGTTTCACTGTAGTTATTATATAAACTACTTTACTGCAGTTATTATAATTCACTAACCGTCTCCCCTGACCATATCGTTATACTTGGTGCTGCGGTAATACACAAATTTCTTCATTGAGCCAACAAAATTTCCAATCCCGTGGCCTGAATGTAATGGAGCCGCGCCAATTTTCATATCGTACTCTTGGCTCTCTTCTGGGAGGCGATAGTTCAGACGACCTTCTAAGCCTTTATCGACGTACAGCGCAAGGCTAAATGTAAAATAAATAGAAAAATTGTAATTTTAATTCATGCAAACTGCAAAGTTTGCTAATATAGCTATAGTAAACAATAGGGACAATATTCAACTGAAAACTTTAAAATTATAAGTATTGGTAAACTTGCTAGGCTTTAGGCAATATCCGTGAGATATTAAATATTAGGGTGGCGCCATCAATGACGCAATGTATTGAATAGCTAACACAATATTTTTTTGATGTATACAGCATATTTTGGATGGGAATTGTAGTGCGATAAAGAAGAACAAACTGAATACTTTAACTTAATATTATTTTAATGATTCATTTGAACTAATATTAGGAACTGGTTCGAATAATAATTAACGAAGAAAACACAAAAGAAACCATGAGTTGAGAGTGAAAGAGTGACTCTGCATGTATACATCTGATACAAAACCATGCTGATTTACATATATTTTATTTTCAACCTGAAATATCATTACTAAATAATTTATTTTAAATTGTTGAAGAATACGAATGTTCTCATCAAAACGTTTTACAATGCAAGCCATTTATTCGGCTCGAGTTCTTATATATCCAATACAACACGGCGCTCATGTTGAGAATATAGATGTATCTATAATATACCTTTTGTCATCATTTGAATAAACTACTGCAATTTCATGCCACTTGTCATCATTCACACGAGAAAAGCTCTCACAAAGTATATTTTCACCAGATATAAACTTAACAACGCCGGCAGTGGGATCGACGCATAGAGCTTTAGATACATTCCTCCATCTTCGGTTTTCCGGTAAATTGCTAATAATGCTTCCACCTTGGCTTGTCTTGATATTCACGGACAAGGAGAAATCAACGTTCGCCAGCGGCAGTGTGTCGCGATTTACCATTTGCATCCCATTGAAGGAAATTTCCTCTCCAAATAGAACTAATTCTTCTATATATATTGAGAAAATTAAAATTTATGTTTATGACTTTAATTAGACTTTCCAGACCATATAGATCCATCTGCATGTCAAGTGTAAAGCCTGTTTTCTATTTCAATCCTCAATCGTGACGTATAACGTGCCGTTTTCATTTCGGATCTGCCAACGAACTGGGTCAGTCCCACCCAACTGCTGAACTGAAACCCACCGCACACTAGAGCCTTGTGTTGAGCAAAAGGGGTAGGCTTACTGATGCAATTATCAAAATAAGATATTCAACAAGAACAAACATGCATGGTTTATTTACTTTGGAGAAAAATCCTTTCATCGTTTTAGGTTAAAATTTAACATGATATTTTGTTTTGTGTATTTATTTCAAAACTGTATAGAAATTAGAAAATAAAATTTCTGTTGATCCAGACAAGTTTTCTAGAAAGATATTTCTATGTTTCTGAGTTTTTGAAACCAAATATACAGCAACTTTTCATAAAAAGGAATAAGAACCAAACAAAAAAAAAGTCCGAGTGACTGTTTACAGGTTAGCAAATATATTTGCCATTTAGAAACTGGTTTAGGGTAAGGTAGCTTCCCACATTTTTTGAAAATGTGGAAAATGCATAAATCAACTCTTTGAAGAGATGTTGCTTGCTAGAAATAAGAAATGGGCAACAATAAAGATTGAAGATGGCCGATATTTTGGCTTTTCACCATGATTTGCAATAAAGATTGAAGATGGCCGACATTTTGGCTGGTTACCCATGCATTGTCTCGTTGTAGTACAATAGATTATCTGACCAAGTTTAAAGAAATTCTGTTGAATCAAATTTCTAAAAAGTATATAATTATATAGTTTTGCAAACTAAGTATTTTTTGGCTCTACAGAATTTTTAATTTGTAAACTCGGTCGGGTACAAGAAAACGTTTCCGGGAATAAAAAATGGGGTTAATCAGGCATGTTTTTAAGTAAAGTGTATCTTAAGCCAAAAGTTTGCCATAGCGAAGGTGGTGAGGCTATTTAGTGGCCAATTTCAAATTTTTAAACTGTTACTCTATAAATGTTGTACGATTTTTTTATTTTTGACGAGTAACATTCTTTCAAAAAGTTTGATCTAATTCATGATTTTTCCCAATTTTCAAATTGTAAAGAGCCACTTTAAATCATTCATTGAATGTGTGCCAAAGAGTTCATGCTGAAAGGTCAGCGAAAAACGTAGGATCTGTTCGAATACAAGTTAAATTCCTCGAAAAAAGTCGCAAGTATGCGAAAACAAGTGTCAGTTCATAAAACAGTACTTTCCATAAAACTCCAATAAATGTGATCTTTACCTTGCTCTGCCCCCTCGTTTCCTGCAACGAGATTAAGCCATTGTAGAACAACGGAACCTTGTTCAGGTTGACCACCTCCGAATGTTATGAATGGTCTCATGAGAGAAGAGAAATGATGTTGATGAACAACTCCTGTTCTTTGCAGTGTCCTCTCGTACAATATGTTTTGCCAACATTTTCGTATTACGTTAGACGAAATTTCCAATTTTTCTAATTAAAAACAAATTGAAAGAAAATCTTAGTTTATCAAAGGATCATGCATCTCTTTAATTAGCGTCGTTACTCAGTAAACAAAGCGTTGCTAAGGCTTGTTTTGTAAATTTGTTATTCTTGAAATGTAAAATAGTAATCTAATTAGCGGTAATTATCAGACACAATTTGGCGCGATTAAAAAAACGTTTCGGTTCAATTAACTCAACAAACTAAAACCTCAACAGTTTTATCTTCAGATGAGTAACATGAATATTATATTAATCATCTCTCCAACAGCTTCTTTAAGACAAACAAACAAACAAACAAACGGACTAACAAAATCACGCACCGTATAATTATAAGGCGATGCCCAACTTAAGTTTGTTTGAGTGGCTCAATTACGTCTGTAATATGTGGTCGCACAAATATTCATAATTCATTGCACGCGGTAGAGCCCAAGAACCACGACATTTTAAAGGAAACAAAATGGCTTGTAGTAGATTCATATCCTCAAATGAAGAGGTACTGTACAAAATATTGTAACGAAAAGACTATGACAAATCAGAACTATAAAAGGCCACGAAACAATGAAAAACATCATCTTCACCTCTTTCCAGCCTGCCGCCAATCTTGGCTTTCTTGTCTGTGCTTGTGTATGTGTAGTAATGGTGTATATTATAAAGTAAGATTTAAGATCTGTTAAAAATGGACGTTAGATGTATCTCTATTACACTCCCACATAGTCTTACACACCTCAAGCCACACGCCTATAGATGTTAAACTATTGCTTAAACACACCTGGAGGTCAATGGTATTTTGGAAGAAATGTGTATATAAATTTAACAAAATGTTTTAAAGCATATTAACAGTTTTCTCAGCAGACCTCGTGCCACAGAATAAACAGACACGAAAGTCCGACTTCTTGTTGGCGCCTTTGATGTTAGCGTAACCGCCGCAACGCCATGACTCGCAATCGGAAACGACGCAAGCACTCGCCACGTTTCTAGCCAGTGCGCGAAGGAGTAAGGATAGGCTGTCAACCCCCATAAAAACATTCAACTACTAATTCTCTTGCACACTTAAGTCAGTCACTTGTCCTCTTTTACCTGAATGTAAATAAAATCCTTTTATATACTTATGTATGTAATGGACAACAATTTGCTAAGAATGTCAACTCTAAGTTACGAAGCCGAATAAAAATATATTATAAGTTGCAAATTTCTTACTTTTTACTCCTTCAAGTCTTGAATGCACTTGGGCTATGCTTCGTCCCACGTAACGTGGGGCTCTTTTATTGCTTTTCTCTTTGATGGATCTCAAATTGCACGCTTTTAGCTTCTCACTTTTGCTGCGTCCGCCAATGCGGACAATTTTGTTTTCGTTGCTGCCATAGAAGTCATAAATTCCTTCAAGGAACTGATCCAGTGCGTGATTCGTGAAACATATGACAAGTATCGGTGTTCGGTTGACTTCACGATGTGTTCCAACTATTGTCTGTTCCCCATGGATCCAGGTCTTTGTGTTATTAAGCAATAGTTTTGCTATCTGGACGAGAGAAAAGAAGTTGTCAATGTTTTAGCGATGTTCACAGAAATGCCATTTCCTGCATTCTGAGCATTCAAATTTGCTCCAAAATATATGCTAAATACAGGGTGTATATAAAAAAGCGCAATCCTCGACTGAAATGTAAATTGCTAAACAAATAATAGACGAAAACGTTAAAGTTTACATTCATTTTAAAGCGTAGCCATTCAGCTTTCTAACAGTGGGTTGTTTCTTAAATGGAATAACAAATCGTTCTCATGAAAATAACTGATTTTTTCATTAAAACAAAAAAATGTTGCATTTTATTAAATGGATTGTAACAATAAGTATAATTACGGCTTTTCTTCCACTATTTTTAACTCAGTTTGAAACTTCAAATGCGATATAATTTTGGCTTGGACCATCTAAGCTGACTGACATCAACTTGCTATAATTTCTGTTTACATTACATCGCAATTCGATGACACTTTGGCTCAGACACCAGAATGTTTTGACGATTTTTAGCATTCGTTTAGGATTTTCAAACAACCTGGTCTCTTTTAAAATACTTTTAATTTGTTCTTACCTGGTTTTCCAGATGTAGTGACGACAACATTAAAGTTTAAAGAAGAAAATTCTAACATTTAAACCGACTAAACAATAACATAGTAAACTTGCATAATTAAACAGCAACTAAAAATGATAGGTTTTACTAAATCTTTTCCTGTGCAATTATTACTAGCATTGGAGACAAGGATAATAGTTTGTTTGAAAGAGAAAAGAACAGGCTTTGAAGTAAGCCTAAAAGCGTTTAACTAGAAATAGTATTTCGAAAGTTATTAAGCACAAAAGATGAATTGCGTTTATTTTGATACACCCTGTATACTTGTATTTGAAATAAAAGAAGGAAAAAACGCACAAAAAGTTAAAAAAATATCAACCATAATTCATCATTACTTATTAGAGGAGGATAGCAATGGCCGAAGGCCACGTGTGTGGAGGCATACTCCCCCAAAAAATATTTGAAATTTGAAACCCAGAAATGCCATTTCTTGCATTCGGAGCATACAAATTTGCTCTAAAATTTATGCTAACTATACTTGTATTTCAAATAAAAGAAGGAAAAAACACACAAAAAATAAAATAATTATTAACAATAATTTATCATTACTTAGTGGCGGGAAAACGTAACACCTCC